AATTATATTATATTCATTACATACCGCATATGAAGATTCTAGAAACTTGTAGGCATAGAATTCACTACAGGGCATTATAGTGAAAAAGATTTGGACCAGGCATAATTGTACTTGCTCGTACAATGCAAGAACACAATGGTTGCGCATTTAACAATATATATACACGCAGTGCTCTTAGACAATTCTACAAATATTATTATCATTAACTAATGATTTTGCAAACCATATCATCCAATAAAGATTGATTTTAACACTATTTCACTTGATAGCTCTCAAACCTAGGTCAAACACATTTCCAGATCGTATACCTACATGTAATATAAATAGCATCCCACGTATGTAAATGTATATGAAAGTCATTACATAATCAATCCTGGGGGTGTTTCATAAAGCTGTTCGTAAAGTTAAGCATGACTTTACGAACGACTTGAATATGAAGTGCCAGAGAGGATGCCTAACGTTTTTCCTGATATTTCCAATAACCTCAATTAAATTATGGCAAAAAATATACTTTGCATTAAAAATGATTTTTATAATAATAATGCTAATTACATCTGCAAAGTTCAACTTTAGTTGATGCAGTTAAAACTGATTGAGCATCCCATTTGGCTTTTCATATTCAAGCTGTTCGTAAAGTCAGGCGTAACTTTACGAACAGCTTTATGAAACACCCCCCAGGTTCCATTAACTTCTTCAATTGCATGTATTCAATATATAAGGACTTATAAGAGCTGGTAATGATATATATCTTGGGACAAAGTTATGTCTTCTTCACCACATCAAAATACCTCTTCTACTATTCATCGAAGATTCCTCCTTTTAACCGTCAAGTTTTTCCAAAAAGTAGCTCCATGCTCTCCGCATAAAACACTCACACATCGAGTTAAAGTTCACACCATTCCAAACTTGAGTCCTTATGATTATGGTGCAAAGTTCATCGAACTATGTCATACTTCAAGAGCGCCCTCTCATGACGATGCTTGGACAATGCTGGCTTGGTTGGTTCGTAGGGTCTTCTGCAGCACATGCGCGTCGGCGGGCTCGATGCGCTTGTAGTAATGCTCTTTGGTTTCAATGATCTCAAATTCAAACTTTTTGTAGAAGTCGATTGCTGAATCGTTGTTAATCTGCACGTGTCTGTGTAAATAAGGGCGGAGAATGATGGTTTATAGCCGTTTGTTCTAAAAATAGTTTGTCTACAACCTGAATGGTGTATGTCCATATGGTTTAAACCCAGCTCGTCTACTAACCATATGGTCTAAGAGTCACTTGATGATTCTTATTTATGATAAAATTATTAATAGACCATATGGAAAATAGAAAAAATGGGCATTAGACAAACTGGAAGTTAGACAGACAGGCGATTAGACCAAATGGGTAGTAGACTTATTGGAGATTAGACCGAATGGAAGTTAGACCAAATGACTATTAGCCTAAATGGTCATTTGACCAAATGATGAGTGGATGAAATGATTATGAGACCATGTGGATGGTAGACGGGCTGGGTGTAGACCAAATGGGAATAGACTAATTGGTAGTAGACGAACTAGTTGTAGACTAAACAGCAATTCACTAAAATGATCATTCAACCAACATTAGTCGCATCATTTAAGAGAAATCTAAAAACTCATTTGTTTTCTTTGTAATTGTTATTTTTAGAGTGTAATGCACTTGGAGAGCGTATAATTATTCTGTTTTTATTTACTAATGTAAAGAGCTTTGAGCATGTTTATGTAAAGGCGCTATATAAGTATCAATATGTATGTATGTATGTATAAAGAGGGTTGCCAGACAGAAGATTTCATTTAACAACACTTCACTGAACTAATTTAATCAAGCATACTGTCTCCCTCTCTAATTATCTAACCCACGTTTCAAAATGATTACATACTCTCATGTTCATCACCCATTTTCAAATTTAAAATGTTTAAAATATGACTTAACATGACTTCAAAAATCATAATTTAAACATGGCAATATCACCACTTGCAAGTTGTAATGCATAAATGTTTAACTAAGTTTTAACACAGGTATTTAATAAACCTAATTAAAAACTGATCCAACATGTTCATGTTTACTCTCTATGCTCATGTCATTAGCTTTGCAGAAAGAATTATACCCAAAAGTCAAACTAGTGTTTTACCTAGTATAGCACATCGAGAGTAAAAAAATGCTATTTATTTATCCAACCATTTATCCAACAATTATTTGTACACATGTGTGAGAAAGGCTACTTCAAGGCAAATCAAATGTATAATACTACAACGTAGCCCCAGAACACTACCTGAAATGAAAGATCTATTTGCGTTCTATGAAACAGAACAAAAGAGAATTCAAACATTGGTATATTCCCAAATCTTTTGCAAATAAATCAAATTTTTCACCCTCAAAAAGTTATTTGTACACCTTGCATTTTGGGTCCCCGTTTTCACATTTGCCCTTTAACTAGTTGCAACAGAAATCCTGCATATTACATAACAGCAGAAATTTCACCTGAGATTCCCTGTATAATTAAAGTCCCTAAACACCGGTTTCTGGACCATTATTTCTGGTAAACCCTTTAATATCCCCATTTGAATTACAGGTGTATATATACTTGTTTCAGACACTGTATTGTATTTGGTATCATGCTCAAAGGCATTTGGTACACATGTAAACAGTTATAGCATGAATTGCAATAAGTGATGAGATGACTTACAAGTATATGTTATCAATGCGTCCATCTTTCTCACAGAAATCCAGAACATGCTTCAGCATCATGGTACCTGCGAAGAAAGAAGAAACAGATACATTTTTCATTTTAAAATAATTATACCAACAGATTGGACTGAAAGCCAGGTTTATTTTGCAATTTCCCATGCTGTAGTGACCAGCCCTGTTGTGAGGCAAATATACTTTCCTTTAAAAAAAGACCACATATTTCCTGTGAATATCCATTTGATTTTCGTAAATCAATAACACACAAAAAGGGATAATATGTGCCACATTTACTTTAAACTGTCCTAAATAGAGATTTCAAGAAGAAATTGTGACGATTTTGCTGTAAGAGTAGTAGTAGTAGTAGTACTAGTAGTAGTAGTAGTAATAGTAGTACTAGAAGTAGTAGTAGTAGTAGTAGTAGTAGTAATAGTAGTACTAGAAGTAGTAGTAGTAGTAGTAGTAGTAGTAGTAGTAGTAGTAATAGTAGTACTAGAAGTAGTAGTAATAGTAGTAGGAGTAGTAGTAGCAGTATAAGTAGTAGTAGTAGTAGTAGTAGTAGTAGTAGTAGTAGTAATAGTAGTACTAGAAGTAGTAGTAGTAGTACTAGTAGTAGTAGTAGAAGCAGTAGTAGTAGCAGTAGTAGCAGTAGTAGTAGCAGTAGTAGTAGTAGTAGCAGCAGTAGGAGTAGTAGCAATAGTAATAGAAGTAGTAGAAGTAGTAGTAGTAGTAGTAGTAATAGTAGCAGTAGTAGTAGTAGTAATAGCAGCAGCAGTAGTAGTAGCAGCAGCAGTAGTTGTAGCAATAGTAGTAGTAGTGGAAGTACATGTAGTTGTAGTAATAGAAGTAGTAGTAGTAGTAGTAGTAGTAGTAGTAGTAGTAGTAGTAGTAGTAGTAGTTGCAGTAGTAGTACTAGCTCATTATTTTCCTTTACATTCCAGCAAAATCTTTCCTATCGCAGAAACCTACATAAATGTGGGTATATGGGTCCACTTAACATAGAAAAAGAGTACTTACTGATTCCCAGTCTCCTGTACGGTGCTAGACACCCCAGGGTCATGATGTAGAGACGTCTAGCTCCCTGGTCTGTCGTATCGATCCTGCAGCATACAGCACCAACCACGATGTCATTGTAGTATGCTACAAGGACAAACAAATAATATATGATTTTATAATGTAGTATGCCACAGGTAAAAAAGAAGGGCTGTCAAGATTCTGCCATTGTGGCATGCATAATGCTGTACACATATGGTACATGTACCATATGTTTTTTTAATTATACAGTGATAAGGTTAAAGGGTACACAAAGGCCATCAAGAAGACAATATTAACATTTATTTTTGCACAATCTCTTCAAAGTTTCAGTCTAGATATGTACCTCACAGTATGTACAATTACGTACACAGGTATTTTGGGGGGAAATTGAGCAATGATGAAATGGCAGCAAGCCTCCCATTAGAAAACTTTATTTGTCTCACAGGAATATGCAGGAGTTAATATTTCAATTTGTTTTACTTCTTTTTCTGGACATATTTTTTCTTCTTTACTACTGCCACTTCACTTCCAGCACATTCAACTTTGATTTAACAAAAAACCTTCACTTGCACTACAGTTGTGTCTATTGCTCTTTGATTTTCTACAGTCTACACCCCGACAAACAAACAAATCACTACTATTACTCTTGCAAATACACAAACCCACAAGAGTGTTTCAATTCTCAATTATCCACTTTGTATACTATTTATTAATTCCAATGTCTTTTTTTTAGGAAATTCACACACTGAACAAGTGCTAATGTTCAACCTACATGTAGTTTACATCCACATAGAACAAGAAGAATGTTAACTCCATTTCACACACAGATAAACATCTTTTAACCGCAGCAAAAAAGGCAGCCACATTTTGTTTACGCATAAATGATTGGCAACCGCACGCAACAAAAGACTTAACAAGTGCGAATTCACTGAGCTCAGTGAGCTCAATATGATACAGAAATGCGAAGCATATTACACTTTATGTCATCATCGAAAAATCGATGGGGTTTTGCCACGTCATTTCTGAACAGACCCTAAAGCGCTCATCTGCTATCAAACATTGATTAACCACAAATTACCTAGTTTGGCCAATTCTCCAACTTCCAAGACATCTTTGTAGAACTTATCATTGTAGGAGACGGGGAAGACGACCGAGTTGAGTTTCTTCAGCTGCTTGATGTTATGTGAGGTAATATCCCCCAGATCTTTCCTCCCTCTGTAAAGACAAATAAAAACACCCCCATGAGTAAGGATGGTGGTATGGTCCATTCATACATTAACAAATTATGCTAATAATGATGATAATCATTTTTGTTGCCAATTTGATACTTGCTTTGCAATAATAGGAATAACTCAAAGTACAAGTCCACTCCAAAAATAACTTACTTTCAATAGAAGCAGAAATATCAGACAAACCAATCAAAAGAATTTTGAGCAAAATCGGATAACTAATAAGAAAGTTATGAATTTATGAAAAAGTATGTAAAATTATGGAAAAAGTGAAATCACTATCGGTTCACAAATTGCCAATTTTGTTATCAGTCTGTGACGTCATGTCCTCACTATATATCAATTGCTTTACCATATAGTTTAATTCCATAATTTCCCTTTTTATCCCCAAGAATCTTATTTCTTCACACAAGCATCCAAGTTAGATTGATAGTAATATGTTTTTGTGTGGATGCACTGATGTAGAGTAATTTTTTTCTTCAGTTAAATCATGAAAAATGTGAAATTTGATAAACTATTTAGATAAAAATCAATAATTATGAATATACAATATTCCAAAAATAGTATCGATTCTTCAAAGTTCATAACAGATTTTGTGAAGTGTCATGCACGCAATATGATACAAATAATAAAACCTGGGCAAAGACATGGGGAAATCAAGTTTAGGGGATAAAAAAGGAAATTGACAGGATTAAACTATACAGTTGTATAAAGCAATTGATAAATAGTGAGGACATGATGTCAAAAACTGATAACAAAATTGGCAATTTTTGTAGTTATTTTAAGTGAGGGCCTAGAAAAAGAGTGTCTGCACCTACAGTGGCAACTTTTAAGAGTCAATTGAGAGCCCTTCCCTTAGGAAAAGAGAGCTAATCTACCAAGTATACCAAGCAAGTAAGTAAGTACTTAACTTCAATGGCAATGTCAATACATAATATTACTTCAAACCACAGAGATTTTCCAGGCCATCCCATTCACTTATTTTGTTATATAATAACGTAGATCTAGGAAAACTTTCTATAAGGCAATATTCTGAAGAATTTCTATGTCAAAGTATATGATGTATTAGTCTATGTAGACTGGGGTCTATGTAAACTTATTTTGATTCTTTGTACGTTTGTAAAATATTGGACAATAAATTGAAATTGAAATGAAAATTGAAATGAGGATCTGAGACATTTATATACAGTAGAGTCTAACTGTAGACCCTAGATAACTTCACACAGGTGCGCGCCCGCCCAGAACCCATCGGTAGACTATGTAGACCTCTACTTGTATTGTGCAGCGGTTTGCCGCGAAACCTGTGAAAAAGTGTATAGGGGGGTCTACTAATATCAACGTTTATCCGAAAAATACTTCAAAAATAACAAGAAAATTGACACGAAACAGGTAGACCTCTGGGGTCTAACTGTTACGTTTAGATTAGCCTTAAGGGCTCTCTCGAAATGTTTTTTTAATGATATTATTCGAGAGAGCCTTAAACGGCTCCCATACCCCTGCACGGAGAGGCATGTAAACAAAACTCAAAAGTGGTCCAAAATCACACTTTCGCGCACCCGACCAATATTGGACAGTGGCTTTGATAAATTTTGTCGTAGTTTTGGTCTTAATTAGCGCTTTAATTTCAAAATCGGATCTAAAAATAACAAAATAAGAGCAATTTTCTTACCAGACCGATACAGCTCAGCTCCCTTTTCACGTGTACCGTGTGAATTCACGATGTCTACACAATGGTGATGACCTCTGACTAGCACTTCGTAAATGTGCTGCTTCCGTATAATGCGCTGAATAACACTCATACAGCGCATTATACGGAAGCAGCACAATTTACCCACAATTACGGAAGTGCCAGTCAGAGGTCATCACCATTGTGTAGACATCGTGAATTCACACGGTACACGTGAAAAGGGAGCTGAGCTGTATCGGTCTGGTAAGAAAATTGCTCTTATTTTGTTATTTTTAGATCCGATTTTGAAATTAAAGCGCTAATTAAGACCAAAACTAGAGTAAAGTAGCCCGTTTTCGGCCACTTAAGACAAAATCCTATTTTTAGGACTCTTTACTTCCTATTTATTATCATTTCTTGTTCAAATCATGAAGCAAATATTATTATTATTTACACAAAAAAAGAATCCCAGAAAAAAATCACGAATTGCCATGACAATATCCATTTCAATTTTCACTGTTTTGGAGCCCGTTATCGGCCGAGCGTTTCAGTTTACGGCCGCATGTACAAAGTCAATAGGAAGCGCTCGCGCGCGCCGTGCGTTTCCGCGCTGATGTACAGCACAAGCGGGCGGAGCAGGTATCCCACGCCGGAGCTCCCTGGTGCTCGCCTGGCCGAAGACGGGCACAGCGGTGATCGGAAGTTGGAATCTGAATTAGATAGAGATATCGTGTGTGCGTCGCGGTGTGCGGCTGCATTGATTTAATACATGCGATGACATACTTTTGAGCTTGCGACTAGCACAAAATCGGGCTTTAAATCTGAAAAATACTTGAAATAAAGCTCATTTTATGGTACCCATATTTCTTACAGACACGCGTAAGATACTCGATTTTTCAGATTTGGGTAGCGGGACCGGCGATTACATCGCTAAAATGTGATATTTTAGGATATATTTTCCATTGCAAATGTGGTTCTTCAGTGACACTGGCATGGTATGGTATGTGTGGGATATGTGTTATGCTATTATGCGATGTATTTTAGAGTGATTTTACCTTGTATCCAACCAATCGGCCGAAAACGGGAGCTGGCCGATTACGGGCTCCTTTACTCTACGACAAAATTTATCAAAGCCACTGTCCAATATTGGTCGGGTGCGCGAAAGTGTGATTTTGGACCACTTTTGAGTTTTGTTTACATGCCTCTCCGTGCAGGGGTATGGGAGCCGTTTAAGGCTCTCTCGAATAATATCATTAAAAAAACATTTCGAGAGAGCCCTTAAGGCTAGTTTAGATTTAGGTCTACATAACCACCTGATAACGACTTTTAGTTTTAACTCATGATCTTTATAAAAAAAAAAAAATTTGGACATTTAATGAGAATTAGACTAACTTCATTTTGGGTACGTTTTAGTAGGGTATCTCCACGCTGGAGTTACGGGTCTATTTTTGGATAGGTTTTTGAACAAGCGCCCAGGTTTTAATACACAGCTATGCGTCAATGTGAATCCGGGCTAACTCGGCCCACGGGACTACTCGGCCCAGCTGGAAAAACTGGGCCGAGATGTCCCGACCTGATTAATCGATCGAGAGATACCAATGTGTATATGTTTGTGCTCTTTGTGACTTAATAATGCCCTTTCCAACCAAAATCTTTAATGGAATTGTGTTGATTGATACCAATGAAGACAATCTATGACTTATCTTTAGGTAAAATGACAAAAAAAATGACATTTCGGACAATTTACTCACAGCTCGCAATCCGCATTGCCGCACGTACATTAAATGTGCGTTGTATCTACTCGGACCATTGAAATTCGAGCAGTGTTTTTGTCGGTAAATCACTGCAAAAATATCATTTTTATCTCGTATGAAGGTCTATTTTGTATTCCTGACACAGATTTCATTATTGAGAAGTCGAATATAGTACATTTTAGACGAGATGGTTGATGTTTGTTCACTTTCTTTCGTCCTGGCCGTAAATTAGCAGACTACTGCCTAGTGCTACCGCAGCAGCTCAGCTCAGTGTGCAGCTAGCCGTACAGCGCCGCCGGCCGGGTCGGCGGGGGAATTCACTGACTCGTACCGGGCCGCTGCACTGCATTGCATGATTGTACTGCCCAATTTGATCGAGTGATGTGTGAGTATAACTAATCAAACTAGATCTATATCTACCAGGCGCGTACGCAGGGGGGGGGGGGGGGGGGGGGGGGGGGGGGGGGGGGGGGGGGTTAAACCCCCCCCTTTGGAAATTTTTTGTGTGTAAACCCCCCTAAAAAAAACCTAAAACCCCTCCCCTTTTGGATTTTTTTTTTTTTTTTTTTTTTTTTTTTAATTATTAAAAAAAAAAAAAAAAAAAAAAAAAAATATTCCCATGGCCGACCTAAAAAAGGTGACCTTACCCCCCCCCCAACGGAGCAAAATGTCAAATTTCCAAATTTCGAGACCAAAAAAAAAAAAAATCGTTGCGAAATTTTCGGACCGATTTATAAATGTTAAAACCCCCCCCTTGAAAAAATCCTGCGTACGCGCCTGATATCTACTGTATTATCATTATTCATTCCGAGTAGAATATCCAATTTGATTTAGTGAGTAAACTAGACTAGACCTAGATCTATAGCTACATCATTATCATATTCTAGATTAGTCATTCAGAGTAGAATATCCTATTAATGGAGGAATGGAATTTTTCTTTTTTCATAATCAGATAATCATATTTTACTCCTAAAAGTTAGAGACTTGATAAATAGCTAGATCTAACGTAAGGGCCTAGCCTAGTACTCTAAGCAGATTCTTCAGTGAGCTGAAGAATCGCCTTCTTATTTTTTTGGAGGGGGCTGCTTCAAAAAAATTCTATGAAAAGAAGGTATTGGCTTCAAGTTTTTTTGTATAAATAATGCAGCCCCCACCACCCCCCCCCCCCAAACAAACCAAAAAATCTCCTTTTTGTTCCCTTTTTCTGGGAATCAAAGAGATATATACAAAGCAAAGCAATTAAGATTTTGAATTTTGAATTAAGAATTTTGTAAGAAGTGCCCCTTTTCCTTTGACAAGTGCCCCTTCCCCCTTTTCACCTCTGACGAGTGCCCTTTTTTTATTTTTGACACGTGCCCCTTTTCCTTCGGCATGTTCCCATTTTCCTTTGCAATAAGTGTCCATTTTCCATTCTCATAAATCTTGAAATAATCTTGAATAAGTGCCCTTTTTAATCTTTTTTTCAAACATGTCCTCATTTTTATTTAATTGTTCTAACTTTGTTTATTTATTTAGGTTTTTTTTTTTTGCCTTGTAACTTGCATATATGAAATAATACGTACCAATACCACAACACAAGGAATGGTGTGGCGTGTCATCTGTACTGGTTTCTGCATGTT